CGCCGCCGCTGCCGGAAGTACGGCGGCGAAGGCGGCGGCCAGCACCTCCGCCACCGACCCGCCCCCGTAGACGTTGCTGTTGATGCTGCCTACGCCCGGCTCCACAAGGCCGATCCCCGGAGGCGCGGCCGGCGGCATCGTCGGCGCCGCGTGGCCGAAGGGCAACGGCCCAGCCGCCGCCGCCGCCCCCGCTGCCGCTGCCACCGCTGGCACGGCGGGCACGGTGGGCACCATGACGTTAACACCGGGAGCTCCACCACCACCACCGCCACCGCCGCCGCCGCCGCCGCTGCCTACGGGGGTACCACCCGCCAAGGAGGAAGCCGCCTGTTGGGCTGGTGGGGGTTGGTTACCGCTAACCGCGGCGGCGGCGGTAGCGGTGGTCGGGAGCGGCGACAGCGGCGGCGGCGGCGCTGCCGTCGCCGCCGGCGCTGGCGCGGGAGCCGGAGTCGCCGGAAAGGCGGAAGCGCGGAGCGTGTCGCCTCTTCCCGACGGGGACGGCAAGGGGTGTGAGCCCCCGCTCGGGTCCTGAAGCGAAACAAAACGACGGGTGGCAACCGGAACGCGTGACGATCGGTTAGTTGCTGGGCAGGGAGATTTAGTTACAGATACGATAATCCGTTCAAAAACGAGTACCTGTACAATAGAGTTCTAGTTCAAAAAATACACTTATACAGCTAAACTCCGGTGAAATACTCATGAAAGGAGTGCTTGCACGGAGTTCTCGTCCAACATGTATACAGTTACTGCCGTGCTGTCTTCATGAAAACAGTTCCTGTACAACCGAACTCTAGTGTGCGACCAAACTACTACCAGGTGGCTCACGCGCGCGCCAACCTCCAAAAGAACGAGCACATACATGCGGCATGTATCCACTACAAGAGCTTTTGTATCGTTTCCCGTGGAAGTCCTCATGCATTTCCGTATCGTAGGTGTGACACAAGGTACCAATTTTTCAAAGCTCAAATACTTCACGCGCAGGAGGATGCATACACGCAACGACACGGGTTCGGAAAGCTCTCTTTCGACGACACGGCTTCAACGCCGCTGTTTTCGGGGCTGCCCCTCCTGCTGCAGCGGAGAAATCGAGCCTTAATCCTCGATTCCGAGGGAATGACATCTTGTGCCACCTACGGTAGAACAGTACTCACGCTCACGCTTATTGGAGCGAACTGGCGAGCCACGTCCGCCCAAGGAATGGCCTTCGGCAACCCTTGGCACAAGCGATCCACCGGGCCCAGAACGATCCGCCGCGGTGACTTCCCTTCCTCGCCTTCCAACCACGGACCCACATCAACAAGCGCAGGAGGGGGGACGCGGAACGGCGAACGGGGTGGGGATCAACACGACTCAAGGTCGGACTTTCCACCCGTGTTGCAAGTCCCACAAAAAGCAAGAAAAATACGACAAAGGGGCTCCGCGAAAATCGATGGTACCCCGCGTAAGGCCCCATGATGGGTTGCCCAGCGCACCATCTGGTGCACACCTTTATCACTGCTGGTGCTCCTCACACAGATAGCTACGTGCCATGAAACTTGAAGGATACCTCAAGCATGTTGTGTTCTACACGCGCAGACCTTTGGTTTGGCCTGTTTTCGCTCTGAACCTGGCAAATGCCGTGCTATGAAAAGTGAAAGGGCTGCTGCTTCAAGCCCGTTCCGCAGCTCTCAGATCGCTGCTAGACCCGGGCGAAGGAGTTGACGAACTCGCTCGAGACTTCGCCCGAGTGGATAACATAGGCATAGGCATAGGTAACATTGAGGGGTTGGCGAAACTGGGATCGCCACCACGAGGGTCATTCCAGTGAAGCACTCTGTCGCCCATGTGTCGACCAAACACGCGCCACATGTCTACCTCCAATTTTGTCGGAATTCTCTTCCAAGTCCCCCCGCATTTGACCTTTACCCCTCTAGACCCGCTCATAAAACGATCCCGTCCAAATGGTTTCATGGCACGACGCTGTAGAGACATGCCTAAGGTTGCTAATAGAAGGTTGTCCACATTTGGGATCGCCACTACAGCCGGCGTTGTGAACGAATAACGGCATCAGCCTATAGGCATTCGGCGGCTGTGGGGGCTCCGCGTGGTCGAGCCTTGTAATAATAATAAAAAACGATTTTTGTGGGGACTTCCAACACGGGTGTTTCCGCGCGACCAGTCGGAAAAGTGGCGGGTGGATGGAAAGGGCAGCACGACAACCACCGGCAGTCGCTATCGACGGCACACCAGGCCCAAGCCTAGCTAAAGCTGATGGGGCCACCGATGATACCATGCCACAGGGTCATTGTCACCCCCCTCAGTAACCATGCCAGGGTCTATGCTGCACGGAGTGAGCTGCCGGCCGCGAAATAGGCGGCGTGTGCTCTTGTTGGCAGCTAGATCGCGGTTCCGCGTGTGACCGTAAATATCTTTGGTCTTGGAAGCAACTCAACTGCTGTCTCGGGATACGAAGAAACTGTGTGCATGTAATAAAAGTGTTTCAATTCCTTTCGAGGGTACTTTTTGGCATTTGGGAGGACATAGGCAAAATACACGGCCAAGAGAGCCCATTCTTGAACGTCGGACTGCAGCACAAACGCCCCTGCAGAATCCCCCCCCCCCCCCCCGCAATTTCGAGTAGGCGATCTGGACTTGCCAGAACGGAGGAAGAGGTATACCAGCCGTAGGAGAGAGGAAGAGGAGGATAGACACACATGTCCATGTGGCAAATCAGACGAGAGTAGACCCCACATAGTTGGGGAGTGTGAGTTGTACAGGAAGGAAAGAGAGGATCTCGAGGAGGAAATGAGACAGAGAGGGTGTGACATGGACAAGTTTGGTAAATTAGACAACAGCGAAAAACGATCGCGATAATTGGGAGATAGATGGTGGGCACACGAGGCCCTAGAGGACGGGGATAAGATGTGCAAGAAATTTTTATGGAGTTTGTGGCAGAAACGTAAAGAGCTCCCAAATGTTGGTGGTGTCTCTAGTAGGGGTAGGAACGGTGCTCCGTCTCGAAAGGGACGCGTGGTCAATGGTCAAATGACTACGGCAAGCAACAAATGAGTACGCCCCCCCCCCCCCCCCAACCCCCCCTGGTCTG